GGGCGCTCAAGAACAAACGCTGATAGCTTTTCGCTATTCGACGTCATTCCTCCGACCGGCGCTCAGTTCCTGCCCCCGCTCTCTATCCGTCCTTCTTCGCCCGGATAGAGCGACACGTGAATGGTCATTCGCCATCTCCTAACGAAAAACGTAGAAATGCGCCTTTGGGCTCCGGAGCAGCTGGTGACCACGCGATAACTTGACCGTCGCAGCTGCGGGGAGCTCTCCCTCTCAATTCTTACCGCTGTAATAGCACCGCGAACAAGCTGCTCTCAACCGACGCGGTTGTTATTGTAGTTGTCGTTGTTGTTGTTGTTGCTGGTCGAGGAACAAAGCCGCAGTTCGGGCGCACATTCATCTCCTTTGGTTTCAAGGCTGGCCGATCCGGTAGTGGTGTTGGCGTTGCTGCTGTGGTTGTCGTTGCCGACATCGCGTGCATCAGTAGTTTGTTCCTGTCGTTGCCGGTCGACCCCTGTTGACCTAGTCGATGCGACTCCCTGAATAAATCGCAGCTCCAGGGCGGAAAACGTAGGGCGGCACGACGTGGCTCAGCCGCGGGAAACCGACAAGTCGCCGCAACATTAAACTAATTCCACGGCGCTTCTGCATCGACGACCCCGCAAAAGAGAAATTCCGAGTGCCCGAGGTCGGCGGAAGTTGTTCCACTGTGAACAGACCAGAAAAGGAGAGATCTTGCGACGTGCCGGAACAGCCGCTGGCGAACATGGTCATACCAGGCCACACGAGGGAGGAACCTGCAGAGGTCTTCTCTTTCACTCGTGCTCTGTCCTCGGCTGAAAGCCAGCAGTCCTATCGGCTGACGCCCGACCGCTTCGGAGCGACGGTCGCTGAACTTGCGGGCAACAGCTGTTTTCCTCGAAGCCGACGACTTGAATTATCTGATGAAAGCGTGGACGACGCTGACGACGGCGCGGCCGGCGCCGGAACCGACATCTAGGCATCAAGTTTCTCCGACGACGGGAGGGAATTCTCGCCGCGACTCGACCGCTCGGTTCAAGGAGGGCAGGCACTCGGAGTTTGTGAATGACGCGGTCATTCGTGGGAGGTTCGTTCCAGACTCTGGAGTCATATGTACGTGCGGAATCGATTGCCCCATTCCTTCGAGCCTTCGAGTATGACCACAGCTCCTCTCCTCTGTCGAGGGATCCTCCGTCGAGTTCTTGTTTGCTGAATTATTCGTCGAGCGCGAATTCTTCCATTCGATTTGAGAATTGAAATAGATTTTGGATCCATGAGCAGAACCACCAACGATGGAATCCTCAGATCGGCTGAACAATGCTCCAACTCGGATCGCGCGTTCGGCACGACCTCGAGACTTTATCGCTGCACGCCTCTATCCGAGTATTTCCGTGTGGAGCGATGTCTTCAAACAAAGCTCTCGCCGAGAGTGGCGCGGAAGGTTTCCCGTTTCCTTCCTGGTATGTTCCCTCGCTGAGCTGAACCCTGAAGGCTCACCTGATCTTCCTCATGATAGGACCGGAGGAATTCGGAAGTGAGTTTTGGGAAGGCTGACATTGAAAAACAGTGAGAGAATATCGATCGCTTGCAATACAGGATTTTTGTTTCCTGCCCTCGACTGATCGTGACAGGCTTCAGGACAAAGAGGATTTCCTCAGGAGTTCCAGCCCTTTGGATGCTGACTCGAGTGAGTAGACTGAAATGGATGGCGAAGGCATCCGGTAAGTGCCGCGCTTGTCGGATATTCCTGCCCAAGAATTGCTTCGTGCACATCTGAAGATATCTTTCTATTCTTGGCCTCTGATGCGATCCCTCGAGATCTTTCTCGCACCCGAGACCGGCTGATTTCAAACAGGGCTCGGCAGCCTTTGGTTCTGCTCCTCGTCGAATGGGATGGGGTGGATGCGGGGGAAGGTGAGGAGCAAATGGATTTGCTTCCGAGAGATTGGGTCGAAACTCCCAAGACAACAGCCGGCCCGTTTGGGAGCGCCTCGCAGCCAAACCGCGGGTACGCCGATGAGCTCATCATCCGCTCCCCTCCTGAAATCATCCATTGGCGAAAATACCTCATCGTATTCGATGATCTCAAGCGCGACCCATGATCCTCGCGGACGGGATCTAGCGTCTAGCTAGAGAGACGTTCCGTGCTCGAAGGTTCATCGTTCGTTAACATTGTAGCGCAACGCGTTGAGAATTGGATGAAAGAATGACGATTTCTGACGGCAACGCCTCCGAGTCCACTTCCGTTATTCGGCAACAGATCCACCCCACGGAGACGTCCATTCTGTCGCGCTGAATTGCTCGCTCGAGAGTTAAGATTGTCAACATCAGAACGCAGTCGGAATTCTTCTCCGGAGCTCCTGTGAATTTCAGGGAGTCTGCGAACATTCAAGTCTAGAGTTGCGCTCGAGCTAAAGTTCACGAGTGATTCGTCGAGAAGGCACTCCGGAGCTGGACTCCAACTCCGACGAGCTCCAGCGCGGGATTGGAGGATTCAGAACCGCGATTCGGAATTCTTTCCGACATACGTATTGTATTCTTCCACATTATTCTTACCCATACGATTCTTCCCTCATCGGAGGACTCGTCGTCCATGCGATCGGCGACTGAGTAGAACCGCTGAATATTCTCGTATACAGCTCGAGGCATTGGTGTGAAATACGGCGAGCGAAACGAAGCGGAAAGAGGGCAAAAGTCGATTCTCGGGAAGCACTTCAGCTGAACACTCAATGTCGACATCTCAAGTGGGTGTGAAGCCTCTCGCTACCGTCGCCGACGTCGCCGTCGTCTGTTGAATTGAGGATTGCAAAGAGGGGAGCAGAAAAAGGTCTTGAGCAGCTTTCCATTGCGTTGCGCAGTGAGTGACAATGAATAAATGTGAGTGTGTCTCCATGAATGGAGGGCCGCTGCGAGATCTATTCGACTTCATTGAGATTTTCAGTCGGCCCAATGTTTGCATTCGCCTTCCTCAAATAGAGAGTGAATCTTTGCCGGGAACCCTCTCGAATGTGCCGAAAATCGTGACACTTCTTGTATCCGTTGGGGCGGCAATCGCTCCGGAATTCTTCAGACAGGGATGCTTGTCGTTTCGGACACTGCGCTCGAGCTGATAGACATGCTCACCGCGAAGGTCGCGAGATATGCTCCGTCTACGCTCTCTTTCTGCCCAGGCTTGATTCCCAACCTCGGATCTGTATCCGGCGCTGAAAAAACTCAAGAGAATATTGCTCCTTCATCGTCCCATGACAGTTTCCGAGTTTTATTGATGGAGACGCTCCGTCGTACGCAAGAATCGAATGAGAGTCTCGAATTCAGGTATGTCACACGAAGTGATCGCCACGAGTGATAGAGAGGGTGATACATTACCACGGGTTCTATTGGAAAAACCGAGAACTTCAAAGAAACGATTCAAGGGGTATAGTAGAGCTGATCCAGAGCGGAATCATTCCTCCGAGACCCAGCTCTGCCGGATATCAACTCAACCGCTGCGCTTTTCACAGCGGCATCATAACAATGAGCCTGATGGAATCCTCACACAAGTCATCGCATTTCACATTTGCAGCGAAGAGACACTCGTGGGCGAAACACTCGCATCACGTGACAATAAAATATTATGATGGATAGGGTTCTCAAATCCAAGAGAAGAGTCCGGAACATCTCGTACACTGATGATGGTGTTCAGCAATACAAATCGGAAGGATAGTGGGACCTTGCGGCTTCCTCGTCTGAATTTTTACATAATTCAATTGGTTCTATGGTATTCCCCGAGACCGAGGAGAAGTTTTTCTATCGGGTTCATATAGGTCATGCACTTGGCTCGCCCGCTCACATAAGCCCGTTTTCGCCCGCGCGCTCGCTCTGATCTGCGGCTTAGAAGCTCCATTATTTAGGTACATTCAGTGTTATTGCGAATCCGCCGTGTCAATTTGAGCACGGAAAGCAAGTTTTCTCGGCTCGAAGTAGAGTCGTTCGATTCGTAATTAATTGCCCCGATGATTCATCAAGGACTGATTAACCTGTGGCTCTAATCTTCTGTCCGATAACGAGTATCCATTTCGTTTAATTAACTCTCGATTATTAAGCCCCTTCCTCTCACAATGATCTCTTTCGAACATCGGAAGTCCAGAGATTCTTTTTTTCGGTGATCCCATAGAGCGAGAATGGAGTCGGTCATCACTTTTTGTTCTCGTTCGGCTCAGCAGCCGAATCGCACGCTCTCTGAAGAATGCGTCTCCTTCAGATAGATATATGTAGATACAATAATATATAAGAGGATTGAGAAAAACCAAAGCACACTCGCCCGACCGATCGGAGTTATTTTCGTATTGGTTGCTTTTACTCGGAAAACAAGCCTCTCACGATACTCTACGCTAAGAGCGTTCAGCTGAAGTAGAAAAATATTTCGGATGAGTAAACCCTCAGGCTCTGAATTTTTAATCTGCGGTTTCCCTCAAGTCTGGGGCGTCTCAACTTTGCCCCACCCTTTTGGATCGTTCGATGCGTCATCTCCGGAATCGCCCTCACGTCATTCACATTCCGACACGAAGGTCCGGCAACAACATTCAAGATTCGTTAGTTCGTAATGCTATCTTGTCACCATGCTTGCTTTGGGATTCCGTATCTAGCTGTACATTATTTTGTTTCATGATGTGCTCTGTACGGAGGTGCTGCAACCTTCGTTCTAACTGTTCCGCCTCAGTTGATCGCGAACATGATCCTAAGAAACAGTGCTAGAAAACATACACAACGAATCTTCGCGCTCGACATTCCGTAGCTCCTCCCGGGCTTCATCTGCGTACACGTGTATGATCCTCGGTAAATTCGTTCAGCCGCGATCGTCGACTCCAAGACAGCGGTCATTGAGCGGACAGCGCCGAACCTTCCGCTCAGCATTGGTGTCTTCATAATCATATTCAGAATGTCATCATCTACCTACATAATGTCCGTTTCGATCGATTGGTGCGATGTGTGGAAAACAGTCGAGTTTCCCTCAAGGAGATCACTGAGCCCGGGAGCGTAACCGTAGTGGACGGAATGTCTCGACTGTCTCGAAATGACAGACAGCGGAGGAGACGGAACCGGTGGGAGATTGCTGAAGTCGTCGTCGACGTCGAAACCTTCTTCCTCATAAACTCCGAGCTGATCGTCGGGTGGAAACAATTTGCTCCCCGAGTAGATTACAGGACTCTGGAATATTCGAACTTCTTGTGACATTCCTGCTCCCTTGATGATTCATATCCTTCCTTCCTCCCTTCCTGAGCTTCTTCATCGCGAGACTCAGGCGCGAGACCTTTCCCGGTGGGGAGTCGTCGCGTCTTGGGAGAGAGAAAAAACGTACCTGGTCGTCGGGGCTTTTGTCGTTAATCATCCACGTGTGATTCACGTGCCCGTTGAAATGCGGAAGCAAAGCAGGAGCTTGCTGGTTATATGAGTGCACAATATCAATATCGAGATCTTCGTTTATGTCCTTCAATGAGTCATCGTTGTCGTCCGCATAATCGGCTTCTTGATTGTTCGTCCGGCATCGGAGGTTTAATACAATGCAAAATATAACGAACAGCAGCGAGAGAACGGCCGCAGCGATGATATATATGGGGGAAACGCTGGTATTGTCTGTGGAGAAGAAACACTCCTTTGAGTTCATGTGGACGCCGTAAGGCACATAGAAAAACGGCCATAATATAAGGCCAGCCATGCATCTCTCGTTGATCTTCCGTATGCCAGCATCCCCCAGAACCACAGCAGCGTTCCGCGCCGCAGAGCGCTTCGAGGACGGAGTTTACGCTTTGCGAATGTCGCTTCGCGTGTTGAGTATGCGCATCGTCGAAAGTGGAAGCCGTTTGCTTTGCTTCGGAGAGTCGAACGGAGCTATTTATAACTTCGACACCCCTCGGCACGACGCCCGCTCAAGAGTTGGCGAAATTGTGAATCAGGGAACTAGCTCTAATACTTCGCTTGAGGCTTGTCCCTCTTGCGGGAGATTGAATCATTTTTTCGCAAAATTCGCTCCCAGCGAAGAGAAGATTTCTAAAAGAACTGACGATTGGTGAATCGAGAATCTCTATCTGGCTCGCGGAGTCTCCAATATACGGGACGTTTCGAGAGCTGTCGGGAGAGATCCATACGAGCGAGTCATCGGCCCTCTAGGTGTAAAGCGTTTTCCGAAAATATTCCACTCGTCAAGACGCCGCCGAGTTCGAGGGCGGTCGGAGTTCCCTTCTCCGGCTGAAAACCGCAAACCGTCGGTGACAGCAATTCTGCAGAGTGCTTTCTTCCCGAGTGTGTTCCCGCGTCTCTGAGTGGCGTCGTTTACCCATCCGACCCATTTATCGTGAGGTCGGGATTTCTCAAAATTGGTCTGACATTTAGAAAACGAAGAAATTCCCCTCTAGGGGTTTTCCCTCAGAACTCATTCCATCCGAGTCACCCATAGGGGGTTCGGACGCTCCCCGACAGGTGCCAACGAATCATTAAAACCCGAACGCATTGGAATAGACGCCTACTACATGCTTTAGAATGATTCACTGACCTCCAAAAATTAGGCGGACAACACCGGCAGACAAACAATCCAGCCCCGCGCAAGGCTTGTTGACTGGCGTGACCTTGGTGGGAATCGGTGACTGCGTGCTTGATGTGGATGTCGGCCGTGTTGGTAAAGGCTCCAACGTGGTTGGCATGGGAACTGAAAAAATATAAAGTAACGTCACGCGGGCGTAGATGAATGTCATGTTCATGGACGCTGCATGCCCTCGTTTGCTAAGGCCCGAATTCCTGGCTCGTTCGTCCGGAATGGGGACGAAGAAATAAATAGGATCCGAGCGCGACCCAGTCGCCGACTCGGGTCGAAGACTCTCGGTCGCAAGACTTTCGGCGGAGGAATAACTCGCATTGCAACTCGCGGATACTCACAAGTTGAACAGGGGTTGGCGGGATCCTGTCGGGACGGGCAAGCACAGACATGACCCTGAGGTCTGTACAGGCACAGATGGGAGCATCCTCCGTTGGCGACTCCACAGGTATTCGTTCCTGTTTGACGCGTAGCGGCCACCATTTTGATGTCCATCGGATTCTCGATTTCGTCCCGGATGATTTGCCGCTTCTTTCCGCTGAGTTTCTCGGCACGCTCGACGCTCTTCGTCTGCCAATCCGTCCAGTAAATGTAGTTGCCGTGCTGAAAATCATCTTGACGGTATTTTCGCGGAGATTCTGGAACTCCGGAAAGCTCGCCGGAGGATGGTACAGTGTATCCGTTCACTACGGCAATGTGACCGCAATAAAAAAGCCCCGTCGATTTCACGGTGAATTACCGAATGGTCACTCCCTTCGGTGTCTGTCTCAAGAGGAAGTCCGCCGTGACGAACACGCACTCTCCGCTCCGCATTTTCAAGGAGGTTACCCGTCGTAGGCACGGAAGCACCCAGCAGGATGTTTTTGCACGTAGAATTAGTCTCGCGGCGAGCTTCCTACACGGGCTGTACACACCAGCACAACCCACCAGCGAGCCGGTTCTTCGAGCACAGCAAGCGACCGAAACCCCAACCCGGACTCAACGCCGACAAATGATCATGACGCGCGCCGTCGAGATTTTTGCTAGCGAGTTCTCCTTGGCACAAAGTGGCAAAAAAGGAGAAGTAATGGCGCAGAAGTC